TTTATCTTTACTTTTTACTTTAGTTTAGTTTAATTTTGGTATTTTCCAAAGTTATGTTATAATACCATTATAAATTATTATATTATTTTAAGTTAAGTCGAATTGAATTGAATTGAATTATATTAGATTATATTATATTATATTATATCAGATTAAAGCAATAAGAAAATGAGTTTTGATCCAAGTTCGAAAAGAACCTTATTGTTAAGGTTAGGTGAATATGGTGAACCAATTGCCAATAATAGTTCTTCAGATAAGGACGGTGTTCTGACCTTACCTTCTCTACCTTGCAATTTAGAAAATGATCTAACTAATAATGAACCTATTTATACTTTAAGATTATTAATTGCCGCAGGTTCCCCTATTTCAAGAGATGGTTTGATATGGACCAATTGTCCACCTGATTCAGGTACTATTTTCAACAGAGGTAAGTTTTATAAAAAAACTATAAAGTCAACCTTCTATAATGATGACACTATTGATTTGGAAATTTTCAGACCTGGTTCTTTTTGTTTCTACATCTCTTTCAGAAATAAAAGTGACAATTTACAAACTACAAAGAAATATTATTTCGTTTTACCTCCAAGTTTATCAATAAATAAGACATTCTTACCTTTGAATTCGATTAATTGTCAAACTATAGTATCAAAATGGCTAGGTAATGATCTTAACAAAGAATGGTTTAAAATATTTGAAAAAGTTTCAAATAAGGGTTACAATATGATTCATTTCACCCCTTTAACTATAAGAGGTGAGTCGAATTCTCCTTACTCCATTTACGATCAATTAGAATTCGACCCAAAGATTTTTCCAAATAATATTGAAGATGTAGATAACATGGTTAAAAGATTGCAAAAGGATTATGGTATCTTATCATTGACTGATATCGTGTTTAATCATACAGCAAACAATTCTCAATGGCTAAGAGAACATCCAGAGGCTGGTTACAATCATGTTACTGCCCCTCATTTGATTGCTGCAATGGAATTAGATGAAGCTTTACTAGAATTTAGTAAAGAGTTGAAACATCTAAACTACCCTTGCTCTGTTGAAAGTGAAGATGATTTATTCAAAATTATGGATGGTATCAAAATTCATGTTTTAGGTCAACTGAAGTTATGGGAATATTATGTAATTAATATCGAAGAAACTTTAGAACTTTTAGAAAAATCATACGATACTATCGATGCCAGCAAAAAATTGATAGATAACGAACAAAACATTATAAATGATATTCCTGAATCAACCTTAAATAATGTAGTAGAATTGAGTAAAATCTTTGCAAAAGATTTCAATGCTCAACCTTTTCATATCCTCGGTGAAAGAAACTTTCACACAATTGACAATGACAGATTTGTTTTATTCTTAAAGAAGTTTAAAAATTTCGATAAATTCGATAAAAAGGTTGAAGATTTCGTGACAAATCTATTGAATGAAATAAATTTACCACTTTACAGAACCTACGATGATGATGTTAACGAAATTTTAGAACAGTTGTACAATAGAATCAAGTATTTAAGATTAGATGGTCACGGTCCAAAATTGGGTAATATTACTGACGATTCGCCATTGACTGAACCTTATTTCACAAGATTTGTTGGTAAGGATGGTGTTAAGTATGCCTTAGCTAACAATGGTTGGATTTGGAATGGTAACCCATTGGTGGATTTTGCTTCTCCACAAACAAAATCTTATTTACGCAGAGAAGTCATTGTTTGGGGTGATTGTGTTAAATTAAGATATGGTAAGTCTCCTGAAGATTCCCCTTACTTATGGGACAGAATGTCAAAATATGTAGAAGTTAATGCTAAAATCTTCAATGGTTTTAGAATTGATAACTGTCATTCAACTCCACTCCATGTTGGTGAATATTTCTTGGATTTAGCAAGAAAATTCAATCCAAATCTATATGTTGTCGCAGAACTATTCTCAGGTTCAGAAACTACTGATTGTTTATACGTTGAAAGGTTGGCTATCAGTTCTTTGATTAGGGAAGCTATGCAATGTTGGTCGGAAGATGAATTGGCTAGATTAGTTTATAACTATGGTGGTAGACCAATTGGTTCCTACAAATTTGTTCCAACAGATAACATCGCTTATTCACCTGATTTGAAACTTGATTCAAACTATCATCTATGTAACAAGGAGTTCCCAGCGGTCAGATGTGTTTCTGAAATTATGATCCCAAAGATTCTATCTGCCCAACCTCCTCATGCTCTATTTATGGATTGTACCCATGATAATCAAATGCCATATCAAAAAAGGACAGTAGAAGATACACTTCCAAACGCTGCATTAGTAGCCTTATGTTCCAGTGCTATTGGTTCTGTATATGGTTATGATGAGATATTCCCAAGCTTATTAGACTTGGTGAATGAAAAAAGACAATATTGTATCACTGACTGCCCTCAAGATGAAGGTATTGGTAAAGTTAAAAAGTTGTTGAATGAGCTGAGAGATAAAATGGCAAAAATTTCCACTGACATCGAAGATGCGGAAATGCATGTTCATCAAGAAGGCCAGTATATTACTTTCCATAGAGTCAACTCTAAAAAAGGTGCTGGTTTCTATTTAATTGCAAGAACCAAATTCAATGATTTCGGTGGTGATCAAAAATTACCTCCTATTGTTTTAAGTCATGCTACTTGTGACTTGCAGTTTGCCTATACGTTGGAAAAAGCAGGTGATGTTCCAAAAGATGACAAAACTTATATTAAGGGTATCCCTACTAAATTAAAGGAATTGAAAGGTTTTAAGGTTACCTATGATGAGCAAGCAGAGGCTTCTACAATTACCTTGCCTGATGAATTCCCACAAGGTTCGATTGCTATATTTGCTACTCAACAGAATGAAATTGATGATGAGCTAGATCAATTTATTAGATCTGGTGCTATTCAAGCCACTGAAAAATTGACCTTGGAATCTCTAAATTCAATCTTGTATAGAAGTGAAGCTGAAGAATATGATGTCAGTTGTGGCAGAAATGGTGCCTATGATCTTCCAAATTACGGGAAACTAGTATATTGTGGTCTTCAAGGTTGGGTCTCTGTGTTGAGAGATGTGATGTTTAACAATGATCTTGGTCATCCTATTAGTGCAAATCTACGTGATGGTTACTGGGCATTGGACTATGTTATCAACAGATTGGATAATTATATTAATGAGCCAGGTGTTGCAGAAGTGCAAGAATGGTTTAGATCAAGGTTTGATAGAGTAAAGAAATTACCTAACTACTTGGCCCCAAGTTATTTCGCTTTTATTATTGGTATAATGTATGGTTGTTGTAGATTTAGAGCAATGCAATTGTTCCCAGATCATATTGGTTATTCCACCTTATTTATCCAAAGTCTAGCTTTGACATCAATTCAAATGGTCTCAAAGATGAAATCGACATCAATTTTCCCAGATAAAGAAGTACCAGCAATGGCTGCTGGTCTGCCATTCTTTTCCACTGGATATATGAGATGTTGGGGGAGAGATGTTTTTATATCTTTGAGAGGTTTATTACTGGCAACCGGTAGATTCGATGAAGCCAAAGATCATATTTTGGCATTTGCGAAGACATTGAAACACGGTTTAATTCCAAACCTGTTAGATGCTGGTAGAAACCCTAGATATAATGCCCGTGATGCGGCTTGGTTTTTCTTACAATCAGTCCAAGATTATATTGATTCTGTGCCAGATGGCGTACAAATTCTAAAGGAGAAGGTTACTAGAAGATTCCCACTAGATGACACTTATATTGAATATGATGATCCATTGGCATTTAGCTACAGTTCTACTATAGAGGAAGTTGTATATGAAATCTTAGCTAGACATGCTAAAGGGATCAAATTCAGAGAGGCAAATGCTGGTCCTAAGATTGACAGAGTCATGACTGACAAGGGTTTCGATGTAGAAATTTATGTCGATTGGGAAACAGGTCTAGTGCATGGTGGTAGTCAATACAATTGTGGTACCTGGATGGATAAAATGGGTGAAAGTGAAAAGGCAAATTCGGTCGGTGTTCCTGGTACCCCAAGAGACGGTGCAGTTGTTGAAATCAATGGTTTGTTGAAGAGTACATTAAGATTTGTTATTAAGATGAATGAAGAAGGACACTTCAAGTTTACTGAAGTTGAAAATCAAAATGGCGAAAAGGTTTCTTTTAAGAAATGGAATGATTTGGTTCAAGAAAATTTCGAAAAGAAGTTTTATATTCCATTAGACCCAACTGATGATAAGCATTACGACATTGATTCTTCAATTGTTAATAGAAGAGGTATTTACAAGGATTTGTATAAGTCTGGAAAACCTTACGAGGATTATCAATTTAGACCTAACTTTGCTATAGCCATGGCAGTGGCTCCAGAATTGTTTGTTCCAGACCATGCTGCTTATGCAGTTCGTATGGCTGATAAAATTTTGAGGGGACCTATTGGTATGCGTACGCTAGATCCAAGTGATTATAATTATCGTCCATACTACATCAATAGTGAAGATTCTACCGACTTTGCTACATCCAAGGGTAGAAACTATCATCAAGGTCCTGAATGGACATGGTGCTATGGTTATTTCCTAAGAGCTTACCATCATTTTGAATTTATAAGTAATCCATTTGCACAAAGTGAATGTAAGACAAAGCCTTCTTCACTCTTATTCCAACAATTATATGAAAGATTAGAACACCACAGAGCTTTGATTGCATCAAGTCCATGGGCAGGTCTTCCTGAATTAACAAACAAAGACGGAGCGGTCTGTAATGACTCCTGTCCTACTCAGGCTTGGAGTACTGGTTGTTTATTAGATTTGGTATTTGATCTTTGGGTTAACCATAGAAGACATTGGTATGAAATGGAACTTAAAAGAAAGGATTTGAAACAATAGAGAAATTGGTTTGGGTTGATGTTTGTTTGTTTTTTAAAAAAAAATGTTACGTTAATTTAATCATTAATTATCTAATTTGTATACTATTTTGCAACTTATTTTATATCTTTAATTTACATCTCCATTTAGGGGAACTAAAATTGGTGAAAAATATTGAAATATCTAAGAATACAACTGACTCTTGGACGTTTTGTTAATGTATCTGTTACTTTCAAGAATTGTTTCGTTGAATTACAGGGAGAACTCCCGTATAGCTTACCGAAAATCAAAATGTCACAAATCTTAACAAATACAATTGTCCCTTTTAGGAGCTGAATTCCCACCTTATAATGATTACTCTGAACATTATTTCCAGAACCTGCATAATTCAATATTTCTTCAAAGACGTCACTAATTAATGAAAAAACTTAGAATTAGTATAAGAAGATGCTCTTGGAAGTTAAGTCTGAAAGTATACTTAAACTAATCTTCCTTAATCTAAATATCGCTACTCAATAAATATTCAATGTGTGATCGTGTACTCCTTGATTATAGGTTTCAAATTTTGATAACGTGATGATTTTTCCCAATGATATTACTACAAAATATTTCCAAGTCTGTTGTAATATGTTCGATACAATTAGTCTTGTCTTGATTGTGGACAAGGGACAAGTATATAAGATAGTTGACGATCTTAAGCTTGTTAGTCTTGTCCTTCTATATAAACTATAAACGATATAGAAGACAACTATATACTCGGGACTGCACCCATGTTCGCTTTTATATATCTCAGTTCCGATGAGATGCCTTCGGACCCTTAGGTTACCCTTACATAGTTCACGTGACATTCATTCAGTCGTTGTGTATTGTTTTGACCGGTTATTATATAATAGTGAATAAGTATTATATTAGTTAAAGAAGTAATATGTGTACTATATTCTAATATATTAGTATAAGCTAAAGGTAGATATACTGATTAATATATTAAGTTGTATATTGTAATAATAATTAAGTCTGTCCCCTTTAGTTTGGGAACTTGTTTATGTAGCTATGATAATTATCTAGTTCTTTATATACGTTCTTGTTTGTGACAGTGTCGCAAATCCTTTGTTTACTGATTACTCCACTTCTTCGTATTATGTTATAATCCGAAATCAATACACATCCACAAAAAGAAAAGACTAATTGTATCGAACATATTACAACAAAAGTCAACAGTTAACAAGCGCAAGTGGTTTAGTGGTAAAATCCAACGTTGCCATCGTTGGGCCCCCGGTTCGATTCCGGGCTTGCGCAGTTTCTTTTTTGTCCTTTTGGTAGACAGTTCTAATCAATGAAGAATAAGAATAGTCAATACCCTCTTTATGAAAGATACTATATTCGTATTAACCAAGTCTATCTTAAAACGGATATCCATGCTATATCACCATTGTATTTACTAAATCAACAATTTTGTCTTTTCTTAATCATTTATGTAGGGAACTACAAATTAACAGTTGATTTAAAGCGATGCGATGAATAATTTAAGAACGTTAATAAGCCATACTTCTATGAATATGAGCATGGATATTGAATTTAAGTTAACATTTTGGGAAGTGCTACAAATATAGTACAAATATTGCTAATATTCATTGTAGAATATTGGACTAATTATAGAGTTAAATGTATAGAAGCAGAAATCGTGGTAGAGCAAATGGATCCGAAGGGATCAAAGGTCCTAACTCAGCATTAACCCAATTTTTACAAGAAGAAGGTATTAGTGCAGAATTGATTAGACAAAGATGGCTAGAAAACCAGGTTACTGGGGAAACTGATATTTCTACAAAGGAATCGTCTTCGTCAGTAGACGTTAAAACTCTTGATAAATCGATAAAAGAGGAAGAGGAAGAGGAAGATAGGAATAGTGTTAATTTAGAATCGGAATCATCCGATGACGAGGGTTCATCAAGTCGAAGAAGGAAATTTAAAACTATTGATAGTGATGAAGAAGAATATGTGGAAGATAGTGGCACTGAGGTCTCCATAACAAACAATATACAAAGGAAATCGTCAAGGTTAAATCCAGATCATCCATCAGCTAAGAAAAAAACCAAAGAAATTCTACAAAGTAGGAAGAGGAAACGTAATAGGGCAGCTGACCTTTTAAATCGTAAAACAGTACGGTTACCAAGATTACAAAGTCTTTGTATACATAAAATTAGTGAAAATATTAAGCGTCTTCAATCAGAAGACTCTGGGACTACTAGAGGAGACTTATCATCGACAATTTATTCAAAGTTGAGAAAAGTTTTGGGTGGAATATCGACAAATAATTTAGAAAATCTATCAAAAGCTCTTTCAAAAAACAGAGCCCTAGATGACAATACTCTTCAACTTTTTCTAAAAACCGAGTTAACAAGTTTGACATTTCATGACTGTTCTAAACTCTCTTTTGAAGGATATAAATCATTAGCAATATTCTCACCGCATCTTAAGGAGCTATCATTACAAATGTGTGGACAACTAAATAATGAATCTCTTCTCTACATTGCAGAGAAATTGCCACATCTTGTTTCATTGAAACTAGATGGACCATTTTTAATAAACGAAGCAACTTGGGAAGAATTCTTTGGGATAATGAAAGGCCGTCTGAAGGAATTTCATATTTCCAATACTCATAGATTCAATGACAGTTCTTTGTCATGTCTATTGCGAAACTGTGGTTCCTCCCTAGAATCGCTGGGACTTTCTCGATTGGATTGTGTATTCAATTACTCGTTAATCCCTCAATACTTGAATAATCCAGCCTTCCATACCATATCAATTCAATATCCATACAACGAAGAAGATGTAAATGATGAAGTAGTAATTAATATACTTGGACAAGTTGGAGCAAATATAAGAACTTTGACTTTAGACGGATGTCAGGGGCTTACTGATTCCATGTTAATTAATGGAATGTCAGCATTTTTGAGTGACAACAAGAATCTAGAAAATATTTCCTTGTCAGAGCTGGATCAGATAACTTCCGATGGACTCATATATTTTCTAAGTCAAACTCCCATGCCTAATTTAAAATCCTGTAGTTTTGCTAAATGCTTAAATATTGGTAACCCAGCAGTGGCAGAGTTGTTTGCAAACGAAGCTAAAGACTCGCTGATTTATTTGAATCTTAACTCTATGAAAGAATTGACAAGTGAACTATTTGAAATAATGTTCTGCCCAAATTTAGAACATTTAGATGTTAGTTTTGTTCGTTGTATTAACGATGAGTCGGTTAAGATCATTGGCAATCAAAATCCAAAATTGAAAATAATGGATATTTTTGGAGATAATCTTGTAACATCTAATGCTACGATAAGAGATGGTCTTACTGTGATTGGTAGACAGAGTGATAGTATTTAACTATAACATTATTTACTTTGAATTATTGATAAACATTAACCATTCATTACATGCACTATTTATAATATATCTATATTAATTAGTAGATTCTTGTAGGTAAATAGTTGAAAAAGCGTCATCATATTTTATTGGATGATTAATCTTCTCTATATTCCTAAAACTTGGTAGTGGTGGAGCAGTGTTGTTAAATGACTTTAAGGTTTGCTCCATAATGGGATTTGTAATTTGTGGTTTTTCAACTATTATGCCTGGGTGACCGTTAGATTTGTAGTTAACTGTTTTATGCCAGTCGCTTACATTAAGTGTCAGCGAAAAATTATTCGGATTTGGATTGTTACATTTTATACTATTGAATAAGATTGGGTCATTTAATAATTCGTTCGAGTGAAGTCTTTTCGTTGTTGTTGCTTGGTATGCAGATATGTTGGATTTTAAAAGATAAAAAGATTTGTAATCATCTAGAATATCATTCATGATCTGAGTAGGCAATATTATTTGAGTTCCTAGCTGATCTATGAATTTGTTTAATTTAGTAAAGTTCTTACAATTTTTTTCAAATTTATAGTATATTAACCAGAATGATACTGAATTTTGAAAAATTGGATTTTTACTGAACTGGTTGAAATACTTTATGGTTTGCATTGTATTTTTCAGCACTAGCCAATTGATTTTAATTAGCTCCACTACTAATACCGAGATGTTATTATCATTAATAATAGATTGAAGTAATGAACTTTCAAATTTATTGTTCTTATTCAGATAATTCTCTATGCTGTTGTTTAAATAATTTGAAAATGCAGTCTGTTTTTCTAATATTTCTTTATCGGTCTGGTCCAATTCAGCGCTATATTTATATCTTTTCAACATCACTAAGTACTCCATAATTAAATTTGTTTCATTTGGCCAAATAGAATTCAAGAAGGCAATGGTTCTTCCAAAGACTTCAAAAATATAGTCCTTATTAAGTTTAAAATTTTTCTTCAAATAGTCAATAAAATCTAAACGTAATTGTTTACAGTCTTTGGGAAGAATTTTTGTTCCCTTTTCATAGGTTTCAATTACTTTTAAATAATTTTCATTACTTGATATTAAGTAACCAGTATATTTTGACCAAAAATGCTCGTAAAATTGGCATGGAATAAAACATCTTTCAAAAGTTGAGTCAATAAATTTTTTGGAGATATTTATATTCGTAGATTTACTACTGATTAAAAATTCCAAATAATTATTCCAATTTTCAAGTTCTTCCTGTTTCACTGGTGTTAGATTGAAAAAAGATTGTTTAATTCTTGATTCGAATGGCCATATAGAGTTGACTTGTAATTGTGTTGATTTTATTGTTTTATCAATATCATTTTCTGTTATATTAAAGTCATTTTTCATATTTTGAGATAGCAATTTCTTGAAAGCTGTACTATATCTAGCATATTGATGCAATGGTATCGTAATCAATTCTTTATAAATATCTACCAAAGAATTGGGATCTGAATTTTTAGACTCAAATTCAATGTATTTATCCCAAAACGAATCTGAAAGGAATTGATATCCAATCAAGTTCTTAGCGATCATAAATTTTTCCCTTATAAATTCAACTTCGTTAGGCCTATTTGCACATAAAACATTTAAATAGTCACACCACAATTCTAAAGAAGCAGGAAATAACTCTAGCGCTTCACTAAGTGTCTCTATAGATTTCTCTAACCCAAAGAGTTGGTATCTAATTGCAGTCAGTTTTTTCCAATATCCAAACAATAAAGGATACCTAAATAATATTTTCTTCAGTATCGAATCTAAACAATTCTTAATTTGCTGATTAGGATTCTTGTATCTCAATACAACTTTTTCAACACTTGAAACAACATCATTTAAAGAATTAATATCATCCCATTCTAATTGATTACAATTTTCAACTAATTCACTATTTTCTTTCAAAAAGGTCGGATCTAAACCACCCAATTCATCTTGAAATGCACTGACCATAACAAACCAACCTCAGTATCCACTAGTATGCCCTCTGAAGCTTCTTTCAACTCAAAATAACCTACTCTTTTATGCTTAGGTTAGTATCTTTTAAGTTCAAATATTCAAACAATTTATGTTAAAAATTGAATCAAAAAATTCGATATCGGAACTGAAAAAAATTGATAAGATGCATATAAATAAACAATATTCAATTTGAATTGGAAAGGGATTAAATTATTGAGTTAGAAGGTTAGAAGTAAGATACTTGGTGGTAGGAAACTTAGTGGCATTGGTTAATTTAGTATGTCTATAAGGCCCATGAATTTTGCTGAATTTCCGGAGACATCTTTTGAAGATTTGGATACTACTTTAAATAAGGTTTCGAAAGAAGAAAATGAGAATGGTAATAATAATGGTAATGTTAAGCAATCTTCTCCGTTAAGACAGGCATTTATGAATAATACACCGTCGATAACTGCTAGTTCAGAGGGGACTGTTTTTTCTAATATGCTTGATAAATATTCTTCAGGGAGCAAAACTGATGATGAAGGACAGCATAGGATGCAATTACAAGAGCAAGGACAATTAGGACCGTTTGAAGATGATGAAGAAGATTTCCTTAATGATTTTGAAGAATTTCAAAATAAGAAGGATGATTTTGATGAAGCTTTAAAATTACATTTCCAATTACGTGGTCAGAGTTCACCAAATACAAATAAGGATGGATTACAATATAGGACTGATAATGTTATTGGTAAATTATCGGATAGGTTTGAACGTAATTTTAGTATTTCAAATCGGTTAAAACAACCAAGATCGATGATGGATATAAAATCAAATGGTAGGTATAATCTTGCAAACAGCAGGTCGTCTGGGAGTTTAAGAGAACGTTCAAATAATGGCCTTAAAAATAAAAAATCGATGCCGTTACTTTCAAGATTTCAACCTACAATTGAAGAAATTGATGATAATTCTACAGTTGATAGTGATGTCTATGATGAGGAGTCCCTTCCTAGAAATGATCGCTATGATCAAAGGAACGCACAATTTTTAAACAATTTTCAAGAAGAAGATGAATTGACAGAAGATGAAGACTTTAAACTTGATGAAGGTTTAATAAAACCACAGTTTCTAAACTCTAGACGCCAATCAGTGGTACCTATGAGACTTTCGCCTTCTGAATACGATATAGTTGCAGATGATACTCTATTGACACCTAGATTACATAAAAGGAGTAAAGATTGGAATGGAAGATCAAAATTGAATTCATTCAAAGAAAGGAAAATTAGAAATTATCCAAGCTTGTCTAAGATAAAAACGATAAAACAAGAAATAGATCACAATACTCCTATTAAAAAAGGTAGGATGTATTATAATCCTCAAACTATGATGTGGGAAGGTAATGAAAAAATATTGGAGAAGTTTCAATCTGTCGATTCAAATGATAAAAAGCCATTACTTATTAGAACAAAATCACAATTATCTCCTAAGAATAAAGATCTAAAACTTAGAAAATCTACAACTCAGTTAACAAATCCCAGCAGAGAAGAGTTTCGGAATAGGCCGAGCGTCAATAATCCTAGAATAGTGGGCAACATGATGTTTGATGATGTGAATTTAAGATGGGTTAGTACAAGCAGGGAAGATGAAGAACATGATCCTTTTAAAAACATTCCTGAATTAAAATCTCTATCATTAAAACAGGCAAGGTATAAATCGGCACCTTCTAATGATGTAAACTCGCCATTTTTGAGATCTAAAAGTCATCAAATAAAACGCAAAAGTAATAACAATAATAATACCATAAATTCAAGGTTTCTATCAACTGGACATAACAATAATACTCATGAAGTGGAAGATGAAGAAATATTTGAACTAAATGCAAAAATGTTAGAAAAATTCTACCATGAGGAGCATAAATGGTATAAAAAAATTGGAAGTTGGATAATACTGAGTAGCGATGGAAAAGCCAACAAGAAAAGTAACAATTACAAGTATGAGATACGTAGCATGGTTATGAACTCTTCGAGAGGTTAATAACAAAAGAAACTAAATTAAATTCTTCTGAGAAGAAAAAGGGCATTGCATCAAATTTATCAAAGAATAATAGTCATAAGAAATAAAAAACAAACATTTATATAATTTTTATCATCTAATCATTTACTGTATAAAACATAAATAAATACAACACTGCATGTGTAGTAGTTTATCAAATATGAGAAACAAATATGTACAACATGAGTTATGGTTAAATAAAAAGGTCATCAATAACAATCAATTCAATAAAATATGGTTTACTGGGAAAGGGAGGACGTTGGAAGTTAAAATGAAAATATGAAGAACAAGAAGATATGGTAGAGCAGATAGTATTATTTTTCTTTTTTAGGTTCTAATCTTTCTTGTTCTTCTAGATAAGTGACATCTGGATACAATTCTTTTTGAATACTTTTCCTGTCAGAGACCAATTTTTTAATTTTATCATTACATTCATAAAGACCGTATCTTCTAAATCTTCTAATTTCGTTATTCATTTTACCTATATCACCTTGACAAAGATCGACATTTTCTTTTAGATTCTCTTCTAAAGCTGCAAAGTATTCTTCGCTTAAGATAAACATCTTCTTTTCTTCTAAAGTTTTAAAAGTTGAAGCAGTGAATCTTTCTTCTAATGGTGATTGGAAACCTTCACCTTTACCTAAACTGAAACCTGGTCTGGCAGCAATAGAGATGATATTTTTATCAGCTCTTCTAGCTTGGACAACACCACCATATTTGCCAATTTGATAGGCATAAAAATTTTGTTGATAATCATCGTAGTTAGCCCTTCTGGCTCCCAACCAACCAATTGAATGCAATACTTTCTTCAAATGTGGAGTTACAGGTGTATCGGTTAATACTCTCATCTTAATGAATATCCAAGGGTTGAAACTTAATGGGTTAACCATACCAATAGTTAAAGTTAAAGTTATAAATAAAATTTTTAAAATGTGTAAAAAGAAGAACCCCCATTGAGCTAAAACACCAGAGTAATTTACTGCGATTTCTTCTCTTAATTTATCAGCTACATGGTATAACTCGAATCTTTCAGCAACAGGAATCAATGCTCTTGATAAACAGTTTGTTAAACAGATACCTGGGGTTGGTGAGATACAGTCCGGTAAATCGGTATATAACCATAATAGCATCAATGTTACGTAGATGAAGATATTTTTCTTAGATAACTTCCATTTAGGTAAAATCAATTGGCCTGACCATAATTGCTTCATTAATGGAGTCTTTTCATCTAATTTAACTCTATATTTTTCTGAACCAGCTTCATAATGGAAAATTAAACAACCACCTTCAGTTAGATAACCAGGATGGACAGATTTAGAATATCCGATAGGAATTCTTTCGTGGAAAACAGTTGGTCTCAAGACCATTACACTTGATAACCCAACATTGCTATCTTCTGAGAAGATATTTTTAATTTTATTGTCTATGGTGTCATTCTCATCTAATTGGAAAGCATAATCATGCTCAACATCGTCGTTAAATCTAACGTAAACTTCCATTGTGAACTATATTAATAATAATAGGATGGATGGTTGTTGTACTTGAATCACAAATCTGGTACAATAGAATATACTTATACAGAAATTCTGTTTTCTTTTGTATTAGAGCCTGAATCGATTAAGTTTAAACTTTTGGTTACTAATGGATCTATTTAGTCAATAAAATCGTAATTAGACCTTAGATTTATCTTAATTCGAAACTTGTAAACAAGGTATCAAACAAATAAACTGAAAAGAAAATGAAATACACTAACTATTACCTACCACCGAATTGAAGATGGATGGAGAAATTACAGATGATAAACTTGAAAGAAAAAAATCTGTATACTAAATAGTAGTACTAATAATAGTGAAAATTTATGATAGATGATAATTATATTAATCTATCCTGATGAATTAGAGATCAATTTTAATTTCGAAACAAAATTAAAATAGCAGCAGTAGTAGTATGAGAATACCGTTTAGACTTGTGTCTGTGTGATTTAGATATTTATAATATATAATAATGGAATGGATATTACAATTATAGCAATAACGGTGGTTGTAGACCCCAACTTATATATATCGGTAGACCCAATAATTTTTTTTTCGAAAGACTAGTATAAAACACTATAAGTTTTCTGTATGGCACAGATGAAGATAGCAAGAAAAATAGTAAGAGCAATTATGAAGAAGGATTACTAATTAAATAATTGTGTAGTATAGCATTGTAAAATTAGCTAAACTAAGGTTATAACTTTTAACTCTTGAACCTAAAGTTCTGCTTTGATTAATGTTTTTTTTTCCATGTCGTTTTATCTCAAATTTCCTTAGCAAGCCAAAGAAAGCAAGAAAGCAAGGTCGAAAAGAGTAGATAACAGAAGAGTAGAGAGAGAGAAAAAATAAAAAAAATAAAAAAATCACCCAACAAAGTTGAGAGAGAGGTTGGGCAGCAGAAGACAATCGAACATAAGTGAATAAGAAACAAAATAGTATCTAGCATAGTAACATTTTATAAAAATCGACTGCAAAACCCGCTTTAATTTATTTAATGATAGATATCTTGGGAAGTTGTTAGTCGGTTTACTTTACTAGTTTCTGTTTAGTTCTGGAATAGAGAGAGAGAGAGAGATACAGACGAGACGGTTCTCTTTTTTTTCATCTGTTTCGGTTTCCTGAATAAATGAATGTACAGAAAACTATTACATGCATTAAATCGATTGATTAGATATCATTCAAGTTGATATCATTCAAGTTGATATCACAGCTTATAGACTGTCTCTATCTGTCTATATCCTTCCTTCTCCTAATTGTGTGTGTGTGGTAAGTTTATTTGCTGGGAAAATTCAAAATTTTCACATTTTCACATTTTCGAGGTTTCGAGGTTTCGAGGGAAAAGAAACGGGGCAGATGCTAGGGCAGTGTCTGGCCTGTGCCATACTTTTTTTATTTTTCTTTTTCTTTTTATTTTTATTTTTATTTTTGGGCTCAATAATCTATCATTTGTACATTTTTCCGTAGACAATCGCCCGCACGACTTCTCGAGAGAAACGAAATTTCTCGAACGACAGTCAATCTAAAAAATAAGAAAAATAAGAAAAAATTGGGAAAAAAAGCATTAGCTAAAGTGAAAGCGCACAAGCGAATGTAAGAACAATAGGTAGAGTACACAAAAAAGAAAAAAAAACACAGAAAACGTAAAAGGACAAATATGTGTACAATAGTTAATCCGGATCTCTCCGCTTCTTTGCTCTTGTTTTCTCTCCGTATTTAAATATTTTTGTGGATACACCGCAGAAGCACTTGTTTCTCCCCGCACCATTTTATTTTTTTGCTTTCTCGTATTGATTTGTGCTTATTTGTCTAGCTGTATTTTGTTTTTGGAATTTGCCATGCCTCGTAGATAAAACACCCAAACCCGCAGCCTTAGAGATATACAACGAGAGAGAGAGAGAGATAACTGATACAAATACCATCATTTTTATTATTTTATTGCTTTTTACATTTTAGACGAGATCGCTACTATTGTTTACTAGGAAAATATGTAGATACATTTTAATATGCGATACGTATTCCTAACTGTAATCGGTGTTGGTCCTACCAACGGATTAATTACAGCAAAAAAAACCGTTGGTGCTCTCTACGTATCTTCCTTTCATTTTATATCGAGTTTTCCTTGTGGAGAAAATGTGCGGGTAACAGCATATGTTCTTTTTCTTTTAACGTTTTGTTCTAGATCTGATAATATTACGTTTGATAAAGTTGAAATGATGAAAGAATAACTTTATCTACAAAATAACTAAATGTAATGACATAAACTTTAATTAATTGAATTTTCTATATATATTTATATTCTGTCGTGTATTGCAAAAAAAAAGACTTGTGTGATTAATTTCAAGAATTTTAGAACCTGTAAATTAATTATTATTATTATTACTTATTATATGAAAATGGTATTTAATGGTATTTAATGGTATTTAATGGTACTATACATAGAATTGAGACGTTAAAATTTGAAAATTATGTTATAAAATGTCATTCATTCTATTTTATCTTGGTATAGTTTTGTATTTTTGTAAAGAACGAAGTGTGGAGAAGTTGATTTAATGTTTATATGAATTACATCGATTCATCATCCTTCATTTTGTTACTATTACGAATAGTGAAAAAATTTATACCTCTACGTTGGTTATTAGGTTGTTGCTGTGGTTGCTGTGGGGCCACTGTAGGCTCCGCTTGCAACGGTTGCATCATTGGTTCAGCAATTGGTGGTGGTGGTGCAGTTGGTGGTTGCATGTATGCATCCTTATCATCAAGTACTAATCCAGTTGATACTTGTCTTGCATTACCCTTTTTACTTGAAAACCATCTCTTCTTGGAAAAAAATCCATTGTTAACATGTGGTGCCTCTAAGTTGTTTGCTTGGTAAAAATGTTCATATTCTTGATTTTTTCTTTGCCTAGAGATAGATAGTACAAAATCAACCCCACACATTGCAAATTCAACCATAGACAAAAATGCGGTAGTCCATCCCATACCCAACATTGCTGCCCCAAGGGAGGCTTCCCTGTCAGCCGAATGAAAGGCATTCTTTGCTAAAACAACAACCGCAGTCTCTAAAACTACTGCTGTCATATTAAACACAAACCCAAAGGACATTAGTATAAATAGCACTTTAGTAAACTCATTAGAGAACCACGATATGATATATAATATAAATGCAACACCAATAAATGCCAATGAAACCCAAAAGAAACAGAACGCAAATCTGGGTAGATAATAATATGCATTTCTATTGGAAATAAATCTTTCAGGTACATTCTCTCTGGTATGGAAGTTATCTACTGGAGAAATTGGTGAGGCTGGAGATAAATAGTCTTGACAATATGTTCTGTCGTCAATTTTACTACATACCCCCCAAAAGGTCCATCTGGTAATATCTGGTGCATTAGGAATACCACTAGTATTACCTTCTACCCAGTAGAATTTGTCTATTGGAAAACTATTGGTACTTCCTGAAATGATTATCAAAATCAAACATAATGTGTTACCAGCTAGAAACAATAAAGTTAGCAGCCTAGCTAAAATTAGAAAACCCTTGGCCATATTAGTTTATATATTGGACTTGGTATTCTCGCTTTCCTTGTAATAATATATTCTAGCAAACAATCCAATCAAATTATCGAGCTCAGAATTGAAATAGAAAAGCTAATTGAAGAAGTTTGATTCCTGACTATTGGTTTCTTCTAAATGTTATCTAAATAAACAGAAAAAAAAATAATTTCGTCTTTGTTTTTCACTTTAATTTTTCTTTTATCTACCAATAATTAGTTTTTATTCAGCCCAAAAATTCTTTATCTTTAGAATATTAAAAACAACCTCTTTGGACGACAATACCAAGGAAGTTCAAGCACTTGAACAATTCCAATAGAAGTTTATAGATAGTAATCAACCACCTATAGTATCTGTTTATAATGACCAAAGTTTCATTTATATAACAAATACATTTGATAGCCGGTATGTCCCTAGAATCAACAATTTTTAATATTTTTTCTTTCCTTACAACAATTATCAAACAATAACAACAACAAGTGTCATCTGCAGACCTATATCTTTGTTTCAATTTCCTTCATTAACACGTCTCTAGCACTGTACTGGAATTTATAGATCACTTCTCTTTGTTTGTTTATTTCCCTTTTAGGTTTCTTCTTCGAAGGAGGTGGCTGCATACTTTTCTTGTGTGAGAGGGTGTTTTAGTTTCGAGAAAACAGTAAATATTAATCTTTGGAATTTCTAGATGGGGCAATAAATTCCTAATGTGGAAAATTCCCGAAAACGGCAAATGGCTATTTTTGATCTATTATGAAATGAAGAACAATCGAATTAGATGGGTTCGAAACATGACACAGGAATGGTAGTGAGAATAAGGTTGGGTGATGATCATTTGGATCGATTAAAGTATCTATGGCATCATTAAGTTGTTGGATAAGATATGAAAAGGGAGAGGCTATAGGACTTATTTTTATTCTTTGAATGAGGAGCAGAGTAGTAAGTAGTACAGGAACCATAGATAATGCCACTTTATTAACGGGGAATATTGCTAGAGATGATATGTTATCTTTTATTTTCTATTATCATTATGAAAAGAAAAAGTGAACTAGACGGTTAAGTAATCTACCATCTTGTCTTATAGCTCTATATGTCTCCCCATACAATCAAAATATGAGAATCACCATTGTGTATTAATTTCCCTTTTTTTTAACTATCTTCATAATCATTATAATTATTATCCAACTTTGGCTTTTTATCTACGTGTGCAATTGAAGGCTTCTGATTTTGTTGAGATCGAGAATTGGTAGGCTGCATATATGTTACGACAGTATTCTTTTTGTAACGTCTTGAATTATTGCTTGGTTTTGTATACTCTACACTTGGTGGCGGCATTGATTTAATAAATTTAGGTGATGTAATATCCGATACTTCTGATGCTTTGAAATCAAAGTTTTTTCTATCTCTCATAGTTTCATTTATTATTGAATTCCTCATATCTCCGCCATTGTTGCAGGACGAGACTAAATCATTACGTTTTTCCAGACACCAATTTTTCAAATCTGTTATAGAAATATTTCCATTTGAGATTTCTATCTCATTTAAAATATCTTCTAGACAATTTAAATAACCTTTGTGTCTTAATAATGAATTTTTCTCATTTGAAAGCCTATATAGTTTCGCTACAGAATTTGCAGCGTTCTTAAATTCGTTTGAAATTTCAGTATTCAAAGTTTCGATATTTTCATCTGTAGGAGGTTGTTCCGGTGGTAAACTAGTTCCTAGAGATTTTAATTTATCCATTTACAAGTATTAAAGATCTTTATCTCTTCTTACAGTTTCACTTTATAGTATCGTTTTGTTCAAAATAAAAATTTTAAACCTATACTTTATTTTTCCTTACAAGAATTACTTAATAACGAAGATCTAAATCGAAATATATGAAGTGATTCTATGATAACACGAGATTGTGACTAAAAGGCATCGATGTTTAATTAAAATTTCAAACTAATCGGTTATTGATTCATTAAAATATTCAATAAATCAATCAATCATTATTTTAAAATTAACTCATCGGAAAAATAGTTCTTATCGTACAAAATGATACATATTGGTAAAGGGTACTATTACGGTTAGATATGAGAGTTTACATTATAGCAAGGTTTAATATAGAAATAGATCAGAAAGAGAATCTGTTGGTTGAGATAAAGCAATACTTTTTGTCTGGTAAAACTTAAGTTGCATTGCATGGAAATCATATAACTGTGGAACAGAAACAATATGGGAGGACCAGATCTGTTTTCAAAATTGAATCTTACATTGGCGGCGGTAAAAAAAATAGTAATGGCACAAAAAAATCTCCCGGGGGCGAGTCGAACGCCCGATCTCAAGATTACTTTGTTTGAAACATTACAGTCTTGCGCCTTAAACCAACTTGGCTACCGAGAGGAAGTGAGATGAAGTTTATAGAATTAAAAGGTCAAATATAAAGTTATTGAACAGTAGATTTTCAATATAACATTAGAGTCTAGTCGTGTAATATTGCAAGTTCAACATCTCGTCTTGGGAATTCATTAGTATTTTTTGTATTAGATATATAAAATCGATATGTGAGAATTCTTACTCGTGTCCTCCCTAAACAATAACATATCTTGAATAAATTGCACAATTATTTTAAGTTAGAAATGTGAATATTTAACCTCCATTTACATGCCAAATATTTTGATACAACTTTACATGTTATCTGGACTTTTAGTAATCGGCGAGCTGCCATAATCACGAATACTTAATTTAATATGTAGCAGCTTAGACATTACATGTACCGATACGAGACCGAGTGAATATTAAAGCAAATTTGGCTTCCAACATTTCATCTATCCCCCATCATTGAGCAACATCAACTTGTTATGGTGACTTCTAGAATAATCTGAAATATGAAGATCTAACTGTTGAAAATGTTGTGACCTAAAATATAGGTAATATAGTGGTAGGTACACATGATATTGTCGTGACGCAATGTTTGACAATTGCCGCGGTGACAATATATGTTCCAATATTACTAAATCAATGGATTATTAATATGATTATTAATATCAGGATACAATTAGAAATTACAATACGCACTTATGATTAGTAATGATGATCAGCAATCATAATAAGTAATTATGATTAGTAATTATAAAAAGAAACTATAACCAAGGAATTGACAACGATCAATTGTATCAGCGGTAGTGAAGTGCAAAGGAATTATTGATAATTAATTAATAATACTAAGATTATGAAATTGGATCTAACCATATAAAAAGGACATGATATTTTGGAATATCAAAATATCATTTGTCCAATTTATTATTATATATTTATTTAGTTCATTCATAAGACAGTACGGAGAAATAAATAAATATTACTATTACTTCAAAAATCATCTTAGATATAAATCACCAAATGAATCACTCAGATATTAAGTTAACATCTGAACAGAAAAAAGGAAATGGGAATCATAAATAAAATTTAAAATGACCAACTCCAAGTACTTAGTATGTTTTATTAATATTAATCGTTACCTTTTAAAAATACTAGGAAAGAATATACAGAAATAAGTAATAATACTCAAGAAAAAATAAGATCACCTTGATAAGTCATTAGTTACTTTTTTACACATTCCAGAGAGCAGTAACATTTTATGACATCACTTTCTCATGGAATTAAAATTACATTACTCTTAATTACAAAAAACTCTGATTGATATAAAATTTCAAATATGAAATGCACATTTTTTGCTTTGTGCTTATATATATATATATATTTAATAGCGACGATTCTTAGTACCACTGAGTCTATGTCATCGAATCTATAACCGAGGGTACGTTATAGTTCAAGAAATGAATTACCAGTCTCAGAAAAATATAGTTGAGAAGAGTTTTCAGTTTTTAAAATATTCATATCATGAATAGCCACGAGTGATGCCATTGAAAGATTCATTGTAGATTTTTTTTATTCTAAAAAATATTCAATTATCTATTATTGGTAAGTCTGATTGCCATATCTAAGGAAGACCAACGTAATTTGTATTTAGGATTTTAGAACGGGATATCTCTAACAATTGCGGTTAAGTTGTAGTTTCACTTTTACCCTCGAAGAACTTTGATAGAGGCTATTCCCAGAGAAATATGTCCCTTTACAAATAAACCAATCGACAAGAAGTTTGCTCTGAAGATATAAGAAAAGAAAAAATCACGGACCTATGATTAATTCCATATGAACCGAGATCATACCATTTGTATTAGAATCAGCCATGTTTAAACAGCTTCAATAGATACAAGAGACTACGTATGGCTGGTACTCCCCATCCCAAGCACGTAATAAATCTAAACTATCTTCTTAGTCCCTTTTTGAACAAATGAAAAAATCATACATAAAATGTTAGTTTAGGCATAAATTATATTCCTCAACCAATTAACTGAAATTTAAACAGTTAGTGTCAATTATCCATTATTGATTGTGCTAACTAGAATAAAATAAACTCCGACCAGCACCTTCTAGCTACTATTGATATTGTCACAACCGTTGACACTATCACATACAAAGAGTGCGCAGATGTAAAGTACGTATATGTTTATAACAAAGAAATAGACAAAGATATAGTCAAGAGAATCACTATTTACAATACAATACCAATATTATTCATCCCAATCTTGACTACAGTCCAACGACGTAACTACAAGACCATTTATTCATTATATTTAAAACAAATTTTCGTGTTCAAAGCTATTGGGTCTGAAGTACATAAACTTCTTGGGAACTGATTACCAAAAACCAAAGTCAATTCACTCCTTCTTACTTTGAATCCATCTAATTGGTGCATTGAATTGGATAGGGAGAACTAACCCTTTCTATAATCAAGATAGAGATGCTCTTACTACTCTTATATACAAAAAGATACTTATCTGTAAATATTCAAAGGTATCCAAATGAACTACATCGATCACTACCACATACAGTATACTATAGACGATATACAATAGTCAATATAGTGATGGTTCTTGTTGTAATTGAGTTGGTATTTGACCAATAGGTCCTTTTCAATTAATGCTAAGCTAAAAAGTTCTTGCTTGTTCTGTCTGTTTCGAATTAGTCTTTGTTTTCTTTTTTTCAGTTCAAGTATTAACTTTATCTTTAATGTCAATGTCAAATTTTTTATGTTCTTCTGATACATCATCTCATCTCATCTCATCACATCTTACCTCATCTTATCTCATCTACAAGTATATGCTAGCCTTATTAAGTTGTGTGGATATGGTACGTCGAGGTTGCATCTTTGGCGTTTTTTTTTGGGGGGGGGAGGATCTCAAAATAGGTCAATGGGCAGAAGTGATTGGGATGGCCCCTTTCAATTGTTCGATATTTGATGGAATTGATGTATCTTGTACGTTTTGTAGTATTTAAGAAGGACGTTTTTGAGTTTTATTTCGATTCGATGCGTTCCAGTCGATCTCAAACTGTTGTTTTTAGTTTCGATTTTGTAGTTATTCTTGGAAGGTTGTATTACTTGTATTTTCTATTATTTTTTTCCAATCATTGAAGTAGTAATTGTAATCTTTACCTTTCATTGAGTTAAGGATATTGTTGATAATAAAAACTAAGATAGAGTAGAAATGTCTAACACTGAAAGAACTTTTATTGCTGTTAAGCCAGATGGTGTTCAAAGGGGTTTAGTCTCCAAGATCTTGTCTCGTTTCGAAGAGAGAGGTTTCAAGTTGGTTGGTCTTAAAATGATCAATGCTTCTCAAGATTTGTTGGACCAACATTATGCTGAACATGTTGGCAAGCCATTCTTCGCTAAAATGACTGCATTCATGAGATCTGGTCCAATTGTAGCTACCGTATGGGAAGGTAAGGATGTCGTCAACCAAGGTAGAAGAATCTTGGGTGCTACTAACCCATTAGACAGTGCTCCAGGTACTATCAGAGGCGATTTTGCAATTGATTTAGGTAGAAACGTCTGCCATGGTAGTGATTCTGTCGAAAGTGCTAACCGTGAAATCAATTTGTGGTTCAAAAAGGAAGAATTAGTAAACTGGGCTTCTGTCCAAGCTACTTGGATCTACGAATAGATATCTTTATCTATTTCAAAAGTAAAGTAAATAAACAAAACAATGAGATAAGCAATCTTCCTCATCTAGTAGTATTAATCATAAATAAATATATTTGATATATATTTTAATCTTTTAATAATATTTAGTCGCATAACAAAAACTAAAAACAAGAAATTATGCAAGATCAATCAATAAACTACTGAGATAAGTATATTACTTTTATCAAGATACTCTCCAAAGTATTATTTTTAAAATTATAAAAGGTAAAGCCAGTAACAATTCTACTATGTAGCCATTTTTTTTCTCAACTTAGTCAGCCACTTCATCCATCATCACTTCTATAAAAGATAAAAAATAGGCACCCGACAGAAAATGTAGTTATTTAAAAGCTTCTTACATTTTTACTCGATTTCGATTGATAAAATATCAATTCAGTGGAACGAATCTAGTTCTAATACATTTGACTATCAATCATCAAGCATAGCAAAATTAGTACCATCAATTATGTCTTTTCTACCTGATCTTATTCTTGGTGGTGCCACTTTTAACACTCAATATAATGATGACCCTTCATCGATCCCGATTGCTGATATTTTAAGAACTGCTTTTAAAAATGGCATCAATGCCATTGATTCATCACCATACTATGGTCCAAGTGAAATTTTACTTGGTAATGCCCTATTTGAACTAAAGGATGAGTTCTCAAGAGATCAATACAAGATTTGTACTAAAGTTGGAAGAATAGGAATGAATGAATTCGACTATAGTAAAGAAAATGTTAGACATAGCGTCCAAAGATCCTGTGAGAGGTTTCATACATCTTACTTGGATTTAGTGTACTTGCATGATGTTGAATTTACTACTGTCGACGAGAGCATCGAGGCATGTATGGAACTTAAGAAATTGAAAGATGAAGGAATAATTCGCAACTTTGGCTTATCTGGTTACCCATTGGATTATATATATAAGCTTGTTTATCATTTAACGACAAATTATAAAGAAGAGATTGGAAATTTAGATGTTGTATTATCTTATTGTAATTTAAATTTGCAGAATACAATGTTAAATGAGTATTATCAAAAGCTAATGAACTGCAATTTGAAAACAATCTGTAACGCATCAATTTTAAGTATGTCACTATTAAGATCAAACGAAACGAGATCATTCCATCCGTGTTCTAAAGAGTTACGAGAAGCTGCAGACCGTAGCTCTGAGTATTGTAAAAGTAATGGAGTTGAGCTAGCAGATTTAGCTACAAGATATGCACTATCACAATGGTATGGTAAAGGGCCAACTGTTCTTGGTGTCAGTTCCGTTAAAGAATTAGAACATAGTTTAAATAGTTACAAAAAGGTCAAAAAACAAAATGGACTATTAGATGAAAGTGATAACAAGATGATCGAACATATCCAAAGAAACATTTTTGGAGAGCACTTAAATGAGACATGGGAATCAGGTATTGAACATACCCATATTTAAAATTAAATCCTACAATTATTTTATATTTTATATGTTGCGCATGCTTATATATCAATATATTCTTTGATCTAATATCTTGAATATCCTAAAGTAGATAAAGATCAAAAATGAATTTAGTTAAAATGAGTTTGATCAGCATTTCATAATACACTAAATTTCTTAATTATTCAAGAAATCGTTTGGAACACCACCAGCTTGTTGACCAGCAGCAGCTTGTTGACCGATTGGAGCTTGTTGTTGTTGTGCTTGTTGTTGCGCTTGTTGTTGTGCTTGTTGTTGTGCTTGTTGTTGACCAGCTGGAGCTTGAGCTTGCTGTTGACCAACTGGAGCTTGAGCTTGTTGTTGACCAACTGGAGCTTGAGCTTGTTGTTGACCAACTGGAGCTTGAGCTTGTTGTTGACCAACTGGAGCTTGAGCTTGTTGTTGACCAACTGGAGCTTGAGCTTGTTGTTGACCAACTGGAGCTTGAGCTTGTTGTTGACCGGCTGGAGCTTGAGCTTGTTGCTGTTGCTGTTGACCAGCTTGAGCCTGAGCTTGTTGCTGTTGCTGTTGTTGAGCAGCTGCTCTTTGCTTGATAGAATCACCATCTACAACATCCTTATTTACAATATTTTTCTTTGCATTTGGTTGCTGACCAAATGGTTGAGCGGTAGTAGCAGCAGGAGCATTACCTTCTTTAGAACTTGTAATTTCATCATCAGAAACTGGTTCAATTGCTTTATTGTAATTTTTATAATAAATATTCATGACTGTTTTAACAGTATTATCTAATTCATATCTCAAATCAACTGAGTTTTCTTCAGAAAATGCGACTCTAATTAAGATGAAGAGAACAAACAAAGCTGTGAAATAAGACAATATTTTTTTCATTGGAGTGGTCAATCTGCCACCTGACTTGTTGGAACCATTAGAACCATTTTGGTGTCTTGGTAATAAATCTCTCTTTCTTCTAATACCACCTTGCATTATTGATATAGTGTTATTTTTATAATTATTTTATTCTGATGTGTAGGGAGAACAACGATTTGTAGAATACTTCAAATCTTGTGATAATATAATAAAATATTAGTTATTAAACACAAATGATATTGTCTATTGAGATAAATGCAAAACCACTTTCGAAACAGTAGCTTTTATTAATTTTCCTTCTTTATCTTCTTTTTATTAAAAAAAAAAAGATGATAAATATAAATTTGTAGTTTAGATTGCTATTTAAAGTATCTTTATAACTTCAAACACGACGAACTTTATGAAAACTTCAGATTAATATTAGATTCTTAAGCTTCAATAAAATATAAGTATATTGTGAATGTAAAAAAAAACCAACAGTAATATCTATCTTATTAGGTTAATTGAATTTTTTTTAGTTTTTAAATTTTTGATCTTGTAACAGCCAAATGAAACAGGTGAGAAAGAAGAAACTTTATGTGATGATGTTATTTTACTGGAGTATGCTATTACAACCAAAAAAAATTTTTTATTGAAATGAGAACCGAAGTGAACTAATAAGCAAAACGTTTTTGTTTTTAAATACAAAGTGAATATTTAAAGGATTGCAACAACAAAATACAAGAAGTCAAGAACTAAAATTAACTATACAAGTTTAATTAAATATCAGTGAATTTTAATAACTTGAAGGTATTTTCATATAAGAAGTTCCTACTAATATTTATCTTGTATGCAATTTTTCATATACGTTTTTTTTTAGTTGTACGTGTTCGAAAAACGTTTAGTGGCAGGGAAACGTTTAAAGAAAAATTTGTATGGGATAGTAAAAATTCGATGATGTGTTTATTATGACGTACGTAATGATGCAAACTTCATTTGTGAAGACTTATTGCCAAGGAAGTCAGATATGGCGTATGTAATGATTTGAGATGTGTTGTTCGTACAACACTACTCTTGGCGATTACAACTACGATTACAATTACGTAGAGATGAAGTTTAATAGTATGAGTATGAGTATGAGTATGAGTATGGACAGACACAGTAATATTGTATATATTAGGGTTTAGGGTTGAAAGAGAGAGAGAGAGGAAGGCTACTGATCACGAAATAAGTTTATACATATCAGATCGATTTTTGGCGGATAAGAATTCCAATAATTGTCTAGACTACTATTTCTTCATATCGGACTGTGATTTCATTTCATTTTTTTTGTATTCTGTAGAGCGTCTATGTTATGTTAGAAGTAGACATTTTCTTTTTTTCCACAAGGGCTAACAAATATGGACAAAAGACAGTACTACTACTACTAATAATAGTAAAAATAAAATAAAATACGTCATTTGTTTCGTTCATAATGAGATGCAAAGGAAAAATATATACTGTCGATGGAATTAGAAAACATTCTGCATGACGAATTTTTGACATAAATTGGCAACTATAATATGGTAAAATTATGCAGATTAATCGACGACACGAAAAACGAAGATAAAAAATATACATCATATAATGACGAAGTGGTCAATAGGTGCATCTGTTACCACTTATTGGTGAGAGATCTGATGGCAGATATACAATATGCTGTTTCAACATACACACACATGCGCATTTATATATATATACTTTTTCTTCACTTTTTTGTTCTCAGTATTTAAGGGTTTGGTTCAAGCATATTCGCAGATTTATGTCTCGTGATCATACTATGACGTCTTTTCATCATTTTTGTTTCGGAATTTCTTTTTTCAAAAATGACACCTGGAATTACAGTCAATCTGAAACGCAGTTGAATGGCTGACACAATCTAGTATCTCTAGATTTGACTTGTATTCTGAATCAATAATAGTTTAAATAACTGTAAAGTTTATTTAGCGTATAGAATCATGATTCAGGAAATTCTGGATGTATGTCGAAAAAAATATTAATGTTATTTTTTCATGAATGGACAGAACAGGAATAAAGAATTCATGTATTCATTCATAACCAATGTATTAAAAACAAAACAATGCAATTCAACATAAGACTCTGAAATTCATTTGGGGTCCATATCCATGTATTACATTTTTCTTGAACCAGAACTGTTTCACTGAAATAATCCAACAACATATCTACGAAGTCCAGAAGGTTTTGCTCTTCAAGATATCCACATTAAATAAATTTAGAAATTTCAATGATAAATTAAAAATTAATATTCTTGAGTCCTATATTTCCGGTTTCTAACTGTTAAACTATTCTTAAAAACATCATAATTGACAATATTAAAAATCAAAGCTATTATTACAATGGATAGCAAAGGTTACCACCATTCTAAAAATAAAATGGAATAAATTAAGTGGGGCAAATATATAAAAATAGACGATACCATACCAGAGTTTAGCATAATTGCTAAAGTTTTGCGAGTTTATTGTGCTACCTCAGGACATTATAATATAATATTCAAGAATTAACAAATTCCAATTATAATTGAATATGTATTTATTCTTGCTGCATTGCTAAAAATAATCTTGAAAATATTAATATACTTTAGATATTTTTCGTTGACTACGTGAGTTTTAAATTTAATAAATGGTTAATTGAGAAAACAGAAAGAGGTAGCAATTGAAAAATTCTATTTAGTTGAAATTTACAATTAAACATGAATTAATACTTAATTAACACAGATTTTTCAAATTTTGCAGTTCCAGTTTCTTTTAAATTTGAAAATAAGATTAGAACATGGAAATTGTAGTGAGTCGTGACTTTTATATATGAAGTCAGTAATGCTGGCATAGTTCTGGCGAGGAAGTTCACTGAAAAGAAAGACTTAAGTGAGAGCTAATTGGTATACCCCCCTCCCGCAACCTTTTCCTGCCTCCCATTCGGATGCATATTCTAATGAGAAGGATTTAAAAGCAAAGCTTTTTGTTTTTGGTTAGAGGTAAACATCAAAGTTAGCTAGTTAATTAATTATATTGAATTGTAAAAATTTTAAGTCAGTAAAAACAAGGAACTTCAAGTTCGAATGCAAAAATCAAATATGCAAAATTTTATATTAATTTTCAAATTGTCGAATTGATTTTTACCATATTGAACCCCTTATATTGGCTAAAACCTTCAATTCAATATACACTATTGAAGTCTTAGAATGAAATGTAAAATCAATCTTTAATGTCTCCCAACTAGGGTCAGATTTTGCAATATTTGTAGAATTTTTCAAGACTATTATTATGAGATACAGAAAACAGTTACTTAATAATAAGAAAATAAAATATTTTGAAAATAGTGGCCATTAATTAACTTGGAGAGGTCATTGCCTGATCAATTCGCATTTCATAATTATGCTTACTTGCATTCAGGAATAGAAGGGGGATGAATATGCGTCTTATCCAATTTTCGGGAATTATCTTTATTTCAACAGTAGTAGTAATATTCAAGATAATCTTATCATTTTAACATAAATAAACAGACCATAATAACATGTTACATCATTATTATATATAAACTTTAAAATTCTGCTATTAAAATTATAATTTAAGTCTTGATAAACTACCCTTCTTCATCGAAAGTCTATTTTATTTCTATGTGTGACATTAAAGCCTTTTTGTCTATATGTTTGATTGGTCCTTACTAGTACAAGGTGTTAATTAATAAAAAGAGCCGTAGTATGCTAGTACTTTTTATATGAGTCGGTTAAGATATTAATTATTTCATATCAAACAAGGATAGTTTTCATCAATCTGTAAATATTCCTATTTAGTAACCGATATGGGGGGGGGGGGATAATTAATATACAGGCTGTTTTGAATGATAGGCTCTTTTAATTCAATTACCATTCCGTCGACATTTGCACAGAAATACTTCTCAATCCATATGATCTAAGACAGAGAGAGGGATAGCACTATTATGTATGATTCAAGAAGGGTATTTTAATTGGACAACACTTCAGAAACATAATAATGTAATTTCAAGAAATATACATAAATAACAAGATACTTTGTAGTATTGTAGAGAGAAAAGTTTGGATCAGAAGCAACATTTGCGTTATTTTTACCTTATAGGACAATAGAAGAATCCAAATTATATAACCTGGAGAAAAAAAATAGTATAATATATTAATTGTTGCACAGCTTTGCGATCTTGGGAGTAGGAAGACGAGCCGTACATTTTTGTAATAAGAACGAGTCGTTCTACCCAGCTAGATAAAGAAAATATACATATATAGTAAATACTTGATCTCCTAAAGAAATCCTTAAAGTCAAAGTAAGAACAACAACATTAATATTAATCCTACTATGGTCTTAATACTTGTTATTAAATATCAGTTTACATCTGAACCACACAAAGTCTTCGTATTATTTTCGTGCAACTTTCTTGCCCCAGATCTCGATTGAATCGATAATATATCTAAGGTGAACCATATGTACGAGAATAGTTGGGTTCGTGAAATGTAATTTAGAGAAATGGTCTCTTTGCAACCAAACAGGCAGTAGGCCAAATGAGTATTTGGGAGGTGATTGGTCCTTTTTATTGATGAGGTACCAAAAGCTCGGAGGCTTCTACTAAGAAATCATTGTAAATACTTGTATATGAAAAATGATAAAAAATAGTTATCAATGCAAGGTAAACTATGAATTATAAGAGATTGAAATGAAGTATATGCAGGGGGCAGAGAGGGGATGAGGGCAAGATACTAGTCCCAGTATTTAAGTGTAAAAGAGAAGGGGGTAATTAATTTGCAGACTCATGCATCGATTGGATAGTTTTGTCGAAGTATCTAATATTTAGCATACTGTAATAAATATCATTTTAGTCAATGTAACGATAATTGAATGGATTATACAATACGGAGTTCCAAGCCGTACCAGGCGGAAGGTGGGAATTAGCCGTTTTAGATCTCTTGTGGAGACATACTTCAAGATTGCTGTTTTTGCGAAATTATGAAATGAATTAGGAAACTAGGAGACATCGAAAATACGACCAAAAAAAAAAAGTAAACTTTGGTTAATACATTACGAATACTCTAGAATAAGCTTCGATTACAAATG